AATATTCATACTTCTCTCACACGATATTTGAAAGAATATCCAGCCATTAAGCCGTGCAACATATGGGACTCTTACCAATCCAGAAAGAGTTATAATGGTATTATTAGGCCACGCAAGTTTTACAATATCCACCGGCCCATTTTTTCAACTTTCAAGTTTATAACCCCAATTGTGTAAATTATTATATTTTTGCCATTTAGTTTTTTCATAAATTACTCCAGTATCATCGATAGAGATCTTGTTTTCCCGAAATTATCTGATAGAACTAATAGAAAAGATTCGAATTTTTGATTCTATGTTATCGAAAAATCAACTTTTGCGGCCTTAGACGTGAACATGAGTCTATTAATTTACTGTATATTAAAAAAAAAAATCCGACCAACCGACCAAGAATTTTGAAATCCGTTTAATGCAAAACGATAAATCGACTTTGTGTGGCCCTATTCAGATCTAATTATGAAATAATATCTGATATAGTATTCGTTGATTTGATTTTTTTTTTTTTTTTTTAGATTCAAACTTAATGATGGCAGCAGAAATATTTATACTTAATAATTCGAGTAATTCAACATCTCCCCAACTCCAACGAGATCTAATTTTAGCAAGAAACCAAGGTTATCAGCTCAACAACTACCTTTAAAATCTATTACTAATCAAGCGGCATCATATTTTATACCCACCTTTCATAACTTCATAAATCATCCGAATTTGATAACAAGAAGGCAATACCCTATCATTTCCACTATTTTGAATTGAATTTGCAATATGTAATTTTTTTTTCTATGTAATTTCCGGGCATAACAATTTTAAATGAATTTTAATTGAAATTTTAAAAAATACAATTTTTACGTATCACATGATTTTAATACATAGTACCTACCGGTTAACAAGAAAATATTAAGCAAATTAAATAATACTTTATTATTTTGATTTGGTTGAATTGAAATTCCTCCAATATAGCGCTGTAATTTTGCGTTCCACTATACACTAATGCTGATGAAAGTGTAGATCAATATACAGTAATTGTGAAGAATCTAATATGTTCATCTTATAAACACAATATCCGCTATAACTATATATTTTATGCCCAAAATTACTCCTTAACAAATTTAATCTCTTCGTTTCTATCAATCTGAATGTAGGTATTGACCCATAAGTATTTAGTTCACTCCATTGCCCCAATATTGTATCATATTTACTAACAAGATTTCCAGCATAGGATCCACCAATATAAAGAATTGTAGTCTCATTAGCATAAGCTATCGCTCCAGTTTTATAAATTTTCCAAGGCATTAAATTTATTTTAGTGGTTATTATAATGTATCCATCATATCTGTGACTCCAGCCAATTTGAAAATAAAGTTTTTCATTATCTAAATACTTGTTTTGACGCCTTGAATACTCAATAATGTTACTTTTTTATTTATGCTTCATATATATTTATTTTTTTAATACAAACTAAGAAATATTTAACAACAATTCAAAAAGTTGAAAGTTTATATAACTCATAAATAAAATTTGATTATTCAAATTATCAATTTAAATTATCAGTTTTTTCTATAATGTTTATAATCACCTGCTTCATTTATTAATTAAATCATTTATTAATAATTTATTACTATTTCAATAAACATTACTCATTTAAACCTAAATTATGCTAGTAAAAAAGAAAATATGAAGAATATACCATCCTTTGTAGTACTTTACTAACCAATAATCTCATAATAAATATGTTAATGTAATGTTTGTAGGAAAAATTTTTTTAATACACTTACGCTTTTTTTATTTTTGCAATTTTTGAAATCAATTGGATTTCCAAGAAGATTTAAGTAGTCTAACGTACGATTTTTATAAAGAGCCTCCACTATGACTTTTCCGATTTCAAAATTAAGATTATTATAAGAAAGATCTAAGGATGCTAGAGCAGTGTTTATGCGAAGAGTTTCTGCTAATGCCATTCCTCCATTAGATCCAATTTTATTATTACTAATATTTAAAAACGTTAAAGCAACATTTTTACAAAGAGCTCTTGCTAATGCTTTTACCCCTTTAAAATCAAGTTGATTTTCCTTTATACTTAAGGATTTTAGAGTAGTATTTATGCAAAGTGCATTTGCAAATGCTTTTCCTCCCTTAAATCCAATCTCGTTACAACTAATATCTAAAGAAGTAAGAGTATTATTTATGCAAAGAGCCCTTGCTAGTACTTTTCCTCCTTCAAAATTGATCTTATTACTGCGAATACCTAAGCAAGTCAAAGTCGTGTTTATATAAAGAGCCTTTGCTAACGCTTTTACTCCTTCAAGACCAGCATTATTACCACCGATAAATAAAGTCTTTAAAGTGAAGTTTTTATGAAGAACCTCTGCTATTGCTTTCACTCCTTCAGAACCAAGTTGATTATCAGAGATCCTTAAATGAGTCAGAGCAATATTTGCGCGAAGAGCTTCTGCTATCACTTTCCCATTCTCAGAACCAAGTCGAATAGATGAAATATTTAAGGAAGTTAAAGTAGTATTTATGCAAAGTACCTCGGCCAATACTTTTACGTACTTCTTCAAAATCGATCGTATTATTCCCAATATTTAAAGAAGTTAAAGCGTTATTTTTAGAAAGAGCTTTGAGTAATATCTTCGCATCCATAGATCTGTGTATATTATTATAAATATCTAAAGAAGTCAATGTAGTGTTTTTGCAAAGCGCTTCTGCTAACGCCTTTCCCCCTTCAAGGCCAATATTATTAGACGCAATATCCAAATTAGTTAAAGTGTTGTTATTACAAAGAGCTTTTGCTAATGCTTTTCCCCCTTTAAATCTAATATAATTATTACTAATCTTCAAAGAAGTTGTAGTGTTGTTATTAAGAGTTTCTGCCAGTGTTTCCCCTTCCTCAGGACCAAGTTCATTAAATGAAAGATCTAAAGAAGTCAAACTGGTGTGTTTGTTAACAGCCTTCATTAATAGTTTTATTTTCTCAGAATTAAAAAAACAAAAACAATAATCTAAATTTTTAAGTTTTTTACTTGTTCGTAGAAACATTGCAACCAAAGACCATTTAATAGCTTTTATAATAAAAGCTAAATTATTAGATCTATCCATATTACATTCTTCAACAAGCCAATGTTTAATTCCAACGACCGAATTATAACTAACAGACACAGACACAGTATAACTTGCGTACTCAAATAACGGTCTTGGATAATTTGGAATAATAATTTTAAAAGGGATCAATAGAGCTTGTTCTTCTGCGTTTAACGCTAAAAGATATGTTCTCAAAAGTCTTTTATCAAAAAAATGAGCAGTTGGCTCGCTCCATAATATTGGTACAATAATTCTACACCATCGACGGTTTACAAGAAGACATGAAAATAAGCTTGTGTAATCATCATGAAGTTTATTAAATATTTCTAAAAGGCATTCGTTTGGTAACCTTGTCATTTTGAAAGGTTTAAGAATTTAGTGTAAGTTTGCACATACGTACGTACGTACGTAATGTATAATGGAGAAATTTTTGCCTCCAATATATAATCATCATGAAATGTTGTGAAACGTTGTGATTTTTTATTTTTTCGAGGTCAACAGATCGAAAAGGCAACCTAAGAACTGATGCACCACGCGTTGACAATCACATGGAAATCTATGCAAGTGGGAAAGACGAGTATGAATTCAATGAACTACCGATTTGGGATATCATGGAGTGGATACTAATACAGTATAACCTAAATTCGTTAGGGCAGAACAAGAACACACGCTGATAGAAACCCAGGCTGGCTGGCAATCCAACTGCATCCTTCCCCGGGGAGCTTGCCATATTCGCACCCTCCCTACCCTCCCTTTTTGCAAATTCTTGGTAATTTACGGCCGGCCCGCATTATGCAGATGGGAAACCACCGGCCAATGCTAGTTAGCTAGCGCTTTGTAAGTTTGACATGGCTATCTTTGCCATATTTGATTTCACCCGGTGATTGGTTTTATATAATATGGTTACTTTCTACCATATATCTGATATGAAAATTTGCTAATCGTTTTTTGTGCATTGTGTTGCCATTTTACAGGGATCGACAATGAAAATTTCCTCGTAAAACCCAGAAGGAAATTTTTACTTTCTCCATTTTTATATGAATGATAGATGCTAGATGCAATTGCGATTGTAATTGCAAGTAAATAGCAAGGGTAAAATTATCAAAACGATCGAATTAAAGTATCGTTTTTCATTTTTTATGACTGCTTCCGTCAATATTTACATGTAAACTTATTATACTTTGATTTTTTTATATTTCTTCTTTCGGATTTTTTTCCGGTCTGATGAATGATCGTCAAAGACCAAGCGAAGAGCATAACGAAAACGTTCGTTTGTTAATTAATTATAGTTATTTTATAAAATAAATAAATAATAAATAAATATTTGATAGTCGTGATAATAATTAATTAATTAATTAATTAATTATTCGACATCTTGTGACTGAAAAAAAAATCTAAAATGGTGACTTATTTTTATTATAAATAAAAATTTATAATAAACTCACTATTCTAAAACTTGCAAACCTTTTATTTAAAATTTCAATCTCTCCAATCACATCACATAATTAATCATAAATAAACTTATGCACCGCTCAATTTTACGTCATTAATTATAACATTTATTAAAATTATTTCGCCTATATAAATATATAAATATAGCAAACATCTCTAAAATTAATACCTTCAACAATTCCATAAATTCCAAAATAAATACATCCACTTTTATTAAATATAATAATACTAAAAATTGGCGGCGAAGCCGCCACAAGTGTTATGCTAGTTAATACGTATTAGTGTAACCGATTTTCGCCGTCTACACCATTTTCACCGTTATGCTTGTTACATTAAATACAAATATGATAAACTTTTTTCACTTTACCGTTCACTCCGGACGATAAATTATATACGTAATAAATTTACATTAAAGCATTAGCTAGCTTTTATAATAAAAAAAGAAACATCTGATCTCTAATCATACAATGCAAACAATCAAGTGTGTTGTTGTCGGTGACGGCATAGTCGGTGCCTACGGAATGAACATCAAAGTATGTAAGAAATATTCCTATAAGCTAATTTTTCATAATTGATTATTAATGATTCATTGTTGAGAATATTATTTTTTATAGACAGAACTTTTAATAAGTTATATTACTAACAAATTTCCTACAGAGTATATGCCTACAGTAAGTTTTTTAAATGGCTACCGTATTAAAAAATTATTTGATATCATCTCATCGAATATGTGTTCATATAGGTTTTTGACAATTATGCAGTTACTTTCATGATTGGAGATAAACCATATACTTTAGGCCTATTTGATACATGTGGTGAATATATTTGCAAATGTTCAAATATTACTGCTCTTAAGTCGATAATATATTTTATGGACTATATTATATATTGTATGATCGCTTTTGTGGTAATATATTGATAGGTCAGGAATATTATGATCGCCTCCGTCCTTTGTCTTATCCTCAAACAGACGTATTCTTGGTCTGCTTTTCTGTAGCCTCACCAGCTTCTTTTGAAAATGCTAAAGAAAGATGGTTCCCCGAGGTTCATCATCATTGTCCAGGAATTCCATCCCTGATTGTCGGTACTCAAATAGAATTGCGGGAAGATCCATTAGTGATTGAAAAATTAGCACGGCAAAAGATGAGACCCACAACTTCGGAGGAAGGTAAAAGACTCGCTCGAGAATTAGGAGCAGTTAAATATGTTGAGTGTTCAACAGTTACGCAAAAAGGCCTGAACAATGTTTTTGATGAAGCAATAGTCGCTGCATTAGAACCACCGGTTATAAAGCGCACTAGCAATAGAAGGCTGAACTTGAATATAATGCCTTTAATAAATAAAATGAAGTATGATAAAAAGTTGGCCTTAGACATAGCGCCTTTAATAAATCGAATGAAGTATGTAAATATTATATAGACATGATTATTTACAGATGAATAATAAATGCAATTGACTGATAATTATATATTTTTTATATATAGCTCTCTGATAAGTGGAAATCAAAGAGGCCTGAATAAAGAAATCAGTTATTTTATCAAGAAATCACAACTTGAATGGATTAATTTTGACAAATTAAAAAACATTGAAATTATTGGTAAAGGCGGTTCCAGTACTGTATATTCAGCAATTTACAAGAACCGAACCGTTGCACTTAAAGAATTTTTTGGTACTCAGGATGGGTCAACACAATTTTTGGAAGAGGTATTTATTTAGCACATGTCACGTTGCATAATCAGCAAATATCAAACTTAACTTGTAATTATTATAATACTGTAGGTCAATGCTAATGTCAAAATTAATGTAGAGGTATATGGAATAACTCGTAGCACACACACAGAACAATATATGATGGTTTGCCGATTTGCGGATAAAGGAGATCTTAAATACTATTTGTCTAATAATTTTGCTGTTCTAATTTGGAAACAAAAATTAGACATTCTACGTTCTATTATTTCAGATTTAGCAAGCGTTCATAATGAGGGATATATTCATAGTGATCTTCATAGTGGTAATGTACTTCTATTCAATAATGAAGGAGAAATAGAAGCTCATATTTGTGATTTAGGATTATCTAAGATAACTGATCGTTCAACCACATGCGGAGAAATTTGTGGCGTATTACCATACATGGCACCTGAAACATTATCATCTGGACGGTATAAAAAAGAGTCAGATATATACAGTTTTGGTGTAATTATGTCTGAAATGTCAACTGGTAGACCACCATTTTATGATGAATCACATGACATTGCGCTCTTGTCAAGAGTCATAAATGGATTAAGACCAAAATTTGCACCAGGAACACCAGATTGTTATATTCAATTGTCAAATCGATGCATGGATATTAATCCAACAAAGAGACCAACTGTTAATGAAATTTCCGAAGAAATAACTTCTTGGTGGACATATCTTCATGAAAATCAAAGAATTTTAAACAAAGAACCTGAAATCAGAAATGAATTCTTAGCAGCGGATAAGATCATTCCCACTTTATCATTTACATCACAAAGTCATCCAAACGCTATATATACAAGTAGGACTATTAATATACAAAATATTGTAAATACTTATACATCTGCACGTAAGTTTTAATGGTATTTGCTAATGTCTTCATTGCAATGTTTTATAAATAATATAATTTTAACAATTAAATCTATTTAAAGATTGGCAAGGTTCTTCTCCAATTAACATCGAGATTCCGGCAGATCTTTAGATCCCCAAAATTTATTAGTGATTAATAAAATGAAGGGTTGAAATCTAGCTCATGCGCTCCAGAGTGCGCAAGAAATCAGGAAAATTTACTCACGATATCACTCATCCTTTACACTTTGTATTATACTAGCAAGAGACTCGTATTTCCGGAACTGAATGATTGATAGATAGTAATATTAGATCTAACCAATTAAAATTTACATTATAAAAACGAACACCATTATTGAACACCATCAAATTTTACTGCCCATACTGAAGTAATTACTTTATTGTTAAAACAGGCTCCCATTATTGACATTTTAAATTCACATACCGTTGAAATCACAGATCACCCACATTACTTACTAAGGATTTAGAACCGTTATTCGTTTAACCGCATATAATCGTTTATTTATTTTATACGGTTAAACGAGTAAGAGATTTTATAAACGATTAAAAACCGTTTAATTATTCGCTTAACCGTTTTAAAAAGTTTATACGATTAATCGTTTATTAATCGTTTAATACTTCACGTGAAGACAAAAAAAAATAATAATGACGAAGAATTTGCAATTCTATATAGGCCAACACTCTAAAAACTAATAAGTGCTTTTTTATGGTCCAAAACCCGCGCTTTTTTGGTTTTCTTTGGTGAATTGAGAAATTCCTCAAATACTAAACTATTAATAAATTAAAATTACAAGACCTCTATGAATAATATTACTATCATGTAAAGTGTTATTTCTTGGCAATATGTAGTAGCTTGGTTGTCCACTGTAAAGAATTAGTATCGTAGTCAAAATTTGTTCTACTGCGAAAGTGGTGTCCAAGGTTTGTCATGCGTGGCATAACAATCGAAGAAAGCTTAAGTGGAGAATGTTAATTAGTTGAGTGTCAAAAAGAAAAAAAAAGTAGGTGAGAAAACTTATCGCTTTTGGTTTCACGTAAAGGTTCAAATTTATGAGCAGTAATTGATCGGAATTACAAGAGTAAATCGAAAGGTGAATAATGTTATAATGCGATGTATAATAGATTAGCAATCAATAAGAGTCAAAAATAGTTTGTGATTAATGATGCTAAACATATATAATAAAGATAGAGTTTCAATCCGAATAAATCTGTTATCCGTTTACCCGCATTGACTTATCCGGATATCCATCTATTTATGTCAGATATCCGAAACGGATTAATCGAATCATCTGAAGTATTAGGAAGTACTATCCTAGTATTACCACTAAAAACTTTTGCAGGCCAAAAAGACTTCAAAATCGAGTGTTATGCAGAAGAAATGCGAAAAATCAAAACAAATTAAAAAATCATTTATAATTCAACATTTTGCCTATGAAACTGCCTCCTGTGCACTAACAAAAAGTTTTCCTTGTGAAATTATAATATTACAGCTGTTTTTATAAATTTTAGGACATCTGGCAAAAAATTAACCGACTGAATATTTGCCGATTTGATAAGTTTTTGGTCCACCGAAATCACAAACTTGACGAATTGCAAATATTCGGTTAGTTAATTTTTTGCCAAATGTCTCGGAATTTATAAAAACAGTTTTGCATGGCCTTATGTAATCGATTAAATGCTATTAGCATTAGATACTATGTCTAATAACAAATAATTAAATGTCACATTTCAAATATTCAATATCAACTACAGATTACATCAAATTCAAATACAAATCTTTAATAAATCGTCTAACAAAATTTCAAGGGTTTTTCTGATAGATATACTTAGATTCAATAATTGTCGATAAGAAAAATTAAATTCGAATCTCTTAGATAAATAAAACATTATGTTTACCTTGTCTATTAATTTGATTTTATGAACTTAATCAAAAAGGTTCGAATTGATCAGGATGCTAATAAATGAAATGTAATTTATATAAATTAATAAATAGTTCTTAAAGAAAGTTATGAAACACAATTAATAGTCAAATTGATTTTTACGCTATTAAACATGTGTTTTAAAAAGTCAACTTTGAAGCCCTCTGACCAGTTGGCACGTTATAATATTTATGCTCATGAGGGTCAATAAAGCATAAGAAGATCTGAAAATTATTGAGGTCACATCTGAGATATGGAAAATCAAATTGAACCCGATACCCATGACTAAAAAATTCAAATATTATATTTAAGTTCTCTAATAAACTTTTTATGAAATATAATTACCCCTATTTTATTATATTTGTCTATTTTCATGCTGTTCGCTAAACTAACCAAAGATTTAAAGTCTTCTGGTTGAAAAATAGAATCATTTACCGATAAGGTGCAGAGCCTTAATATCTTTCAAGCATTGGATTACACAACTTTCAGAAGGATAGATTTTATGATTCAAAATGAAAATTTGAATAGAACTATTTGCATCATCTGAATTTTCTAAAATTTCTCTAAGGATTTGAGATCTATCAGGATATTCGATCAAAATATTCTTAATTCGAGCTGTATACTTTTATCCATCATAAATTGGTGTATTAGGCATATTTATTAATTATTACAAAGTTTGAAAAAGTTAAAGTTTTATGCGTAGTATATATTTAGGAAAACAATTAAATTGCTATTTGAAATCGCAAGTTGACAAATAAGTGGATTAGTGGTGGCAGAAACGATCCTCAGTGACGTAATTTCTGAGCATTTTAAAGCTCTGCAGATCATGACCCAGCTTTGAATATTCTACATGATAGTTTAATTTATTAGTCAAATCAAGATTTATAAATCTAATCTCTGGACGTATAATTTATTATATTACCAAGTATATATATAGAAACAAATCAAATATAGCCTTCGATGTCACATTTTAATAAATTATATACTCTCAAAGATAAATAATTAACTATTTCAATGCATTGTAAACAAAATTGAAATTTATTTTCTCAAAATATTAACTTTTAATATCATTTGTGTTCAACTTATATTAAATTATTAGTCTATTTTATGTATATTGCTAGCCTATCTTATGTAGTTAATTATCAGAATAAAATTGAGTATATTTAAGGTTATTCAGTTATATTAAATTACAAGACTATATTTAACTTGGTCGCAAAATATTTAGAGTTATTAAGTTATTTTAAATTACTAGCCAATTTTAGATAAATAATTAATTATTGAAATAAAATTGACTTTGTGCGTGATATTCAGGCTTATCTGACAATGATTTAATCGTTAGAAATGAATACATAATTTTGCCATAATAATTCCTCAACAATGTATTTAACTATTTAGAATAACATTCAGATAAATAATTTTTCATTGTAATGATTAGTTTATATAACAAATATAATAAATTTTTTTAATAAAGATAACTTCAACTACAAAAAAAAATTAATAAAGTCTATGCATTTATTTAGTTAATATGCATATTTGATATTTAATACTTAGCTTTTTCTATAGTGTTCATCTTATTATCGATTCATTCTAGTCCAAACTTTGTAAAACTTTCTATTTACTCTTAGTTAAATCTTTTTCTTTTTAACCAAATATCTAGTTTAAGCAATACAGGTAAAACCAAAAGTTGTTCTCGGTGTGACAAAATTAAATTGGTCTCTGAATTCACGAGAGAAAGTAGAAATAAAGTGAAAGAATGTTCCGTATATAACTCCTGTGCTAAGCAAGAAAAAAAATGTAATGCCAGATTGAATTCTACTGAAAATACTCAATTATTAAGCACTAAAATTGAAACAAATAAAGGCAGTAGTGAAAATATTGAGGATGAGCTTCTCAATGATATTCATGATCTTGAAGAGTTGGTAGCAAATAAATTTCAGAATCGCGAAGAGGAGGATCGTCATGCTGAATTTTCAGTGATGGTAGAGCTCAAGAGAGAACCTGAAGAAGAAGAAATGGCATTGCTTGAGATTAATCAACACAATAAAAATAAAAAATTTCATACTATAATTAGCACTTTACTTGAACCTCTTTGTATTGGTTTGTTATTTTTTTTTACTTTTATTATAATCTCTTCATTGTTACCGTATAAACCAAGGAAATAATTCAATATGTGCATGTGTGCTCCGCACATAAAAATTTTTTTGTACACAAAGAGAATATAAAATTGTGTGCAAAGCATACATAACTTATTAGCAATATATTTTATATAATGTGCGCTATAGTTAATAAATTAAAAGTACATATTATATTTAATAGTATATGCAGCATACAAACAATAAGTTTAAAATTATGTGCACAATGCACATATAATTTTGATTCTAAATTTTTTCCCTGGTATAAACTTGAAATAATGTCCAGGGATTTTATTTTGAATTTTGGCCAGAATTAAGCATAATTTATGCCAAAATTTGAAATTACACCCCTGGGCATTATTTCAAGTTTATACGGTATTTCTCTTTTTGGCTTCTTTTTTCATCATCCTCTTTATTTTTATCATCTACTAAACTTTCTTATTCTCATCTTTGCTTTTATCATTATTAGGATCAGGTTATCGTTGTGAACTTCAGAGTCTCTATAGAAATAAAATAAATAATCAGTTTATGAGATATGCAACAGCTCATTTAGGTTGCACACAGCAAGATAATCATCAACATAAACATTCAAAAAACCAGCTCATAAAGCGAATTAGTAAAATACGACCTGCAATTAAATGTTTTAAATATAATAGCACAATAGTAATAAAAATTAATTTACAAACATGACAGCTTACAATAGATGTAAAACATTTAATTGCTTATGAACATCCTCCTATACAGAAACCAGAATGCCAACTAATGCTATATTATAAATACAAGAGAATATTAATCATAGTTCAAGAACGATTAATATCTATAAA